CTAGGTGCCAGTCAATATCGTTTGAAATTAAGTAGTAGGGACATTTTGATATCTAATATATCCTATACAGTGATTTAAACTACACGCATTTTAACTTAACAATAGCTTTTTCCCATACCCTACATTCGTTATGGGAAACACACATGCTTTGCGAATAGGAATATAATCTTTAAATTTTTTTTTGCAAATCTTAATATTTTACGCTTTATAAGCACCGCAAAATAATTTGGCATAATTTGTTGCTAAATTGATACGGCCTCAGAGACGATCTATCATCTAATAATGAGTAAAAACTTATGTTTCCCATTTAATTTTTGATAACGCAAAAATCGTATCGTTTTAAATATGTGGGAAATGTAGTTAATCAATCACAAACTAAATTTTGAAGTTCATGGGCCGATAATACAATTATGGAATGTTTCATGAAACATACGAAAAGTATATACGAATAACATATTTATTTTTAAAAATAAGAAAGGTTTTTGTTTTTTAAAGTAAACATGGGCAAACGATTAGAGATTGAAAGAGCGTGAGATTTTAAATTAATAAAATATGTTTGCATCATTTTAAAATTGCTATTTTGCATGATCGATATGATTACTTATCTCAAATTAAGTAGACACGTGTGACACACATATAGATTTCTTTGAAGTTTTTAATCCAACCGAAAATAAGGTAAACAATCAGTAGCTAATTGGGTTTAAAAGGTCGTATAAAGAACAAATAGTTTTGTATATAGCTAAGAGTTAGAAACCACACTAACATATTATATATCAAATCGATATATTGGAATTCAAAGGCTCAAGGTAAAATAATTCGTGACATCATTTCTTCCCATCCTGAGCAATGTCTTCGCGGTACATACAGCCCCAAATAATATATTTTGCAGGTTGTGTCCATTCGTATGTTAAATTTAAACCGCCTTCGACTATTATTTGTTTGCCGTCTGAACGGAAAGATTTTTTCCTCTCGAGTGTATCAATAACTCGTTTTGCTCAGAAAGTTTTCCTTCGGTCCAGCGCTTAATATTAAATATTTCTAGCATAGATTTGCTCAAATATCTTTACTTAGCGATGTCGGTTTCATAAATGTCTTAAACGCGACAAATCAATCGACCTATATTTGATCATAGCCCCATATAAAGCCTCCTTCAGAAACCCAGTTTTTTGTTTTTGCTAAAACCCCTAAAAATTTGTTAGAGTACATAATAAATTTAGATAATCACAAAACCACTTGTAAATATTATTGCAGTACATGATCCGTTTAGTAGTAGTAGTCCTATGTAATGCAAGCATGGATTAACATTATTTTGTTGAAAACACCATGGTCCAAAGCCTGCATTACATAGGAACATGTTGCGGATCATGTACTTTCATAAATTTAGCAAGGAAATAGTTTTGGGATTACTGTGATGTGTCACACGGATGGATTATGTGGTCCTCACCCTGGCTACACAATTTTAAATGGAGTCCTAGTGCTAGTCCTTTGAGGAGTCATCTTTACACATGAGTGCGGAGTAGTCTCAATTTTGTGCAGGGAATGCATATAAGTATATATCTCAAATAAGATAAAATTCTACATTAATGTTTTGTTATATGTACATAAGTATACGGTCGACCATGCCCAACTATACTTTCGTACTTTGGGAATATATTTCGGGTTGAGACATTCGTAATAAAAGTCTAAGATAGGAATATTTTTAATTGATACTGGGTTTAGTCTAATTCGGAGTTGGGAACGAATATTATCTTTTTATTTCTGATTTTATTCACGAATATAATATAACTACACTTTGAATTCTGTGTCCCTCAGGGCTCCATTCTATCTCCATCTCTCTTTTTAATTTACATGATGTAGTATTTTGCAAGAAAATAATAAACCTAGGTCGAAATTCATCAAACCTTTTCAAATCGGTCGAATTCCATCACATACCGGAATATGGTTGATTTAATATGGTCGAGCTATTTCACAGCCTCCAGTTTTACAAACCTATAGATGGGTGGAGTCAACATTAATACATCTGATAACCTTAAGATTTTGGGGAATATAATACAAAATGAAGTCCGATGGAATAGTCTCATCTTTGTAATTGCGAAAACAACATAAAATGTTTAGGTGTTTTGAGACGTTATAAAAGATTTTTCACTGCCTCCTACACTACCTATATCCGAGCTGAAGAAGAGTTTTTAACCTCATAGTAGAAGAAACAATTACTAATTCTATCGACTCATTGGAACACATTGGGTTGCTTATATCGATTGTAAGGGTATTACGATCGGTAATCTTATATCTCACGCAGTTCTCGCCCATTACAGCGAACGCACATCACATTAAAGGGATTTTTTTCGCCCGAACATCTGTCTGAGAAACAATCTCCCGGCAAACGTCTTCCCAGATGGATTCAATATTTATCATTTTAAATCGAACATCAACACTATTCTACTTCCTAACATCAACACGATGCACTGTACTAATATCGGGTTCTCCTAAGTGTTGGATAATAAAACAATAAATAAAATTTATTGAAGAACTGTAATAACAGTAATAACGTACTCCGTACCCTGACATTGATAACTGTATGACAGAGATTTGCAAGTACACAATGCCCAGCTAGCATTTGGAAGATTGTTGGATGATTAATCAGTAAAGTGACTCATTTTTGACTCCTTTTGATGACCTAAACGTAATTAATAAGTTGAGCGCTTAAAAAATGATTCGAAAATTATCCCGATATACGATTGAAAACTGATTATTGGAAAAACAATAACAAAATGTATAGCAATCATAAATTGATCATCCTGGTGTTTAAAATATGATCACTTATTTTGTGATCATATTTCGAGCAGTTGGAAGATAAAAAATTGTTTCTTATGTAATTGTTTATGTTTGCAATGGCAATAGCAACACTTACACTTAAAAATGACTCAATAACGATTCAAAAATGAGTCGAAACTGATTAGAAAATAAGATCAGAAAAGACTCTTTTAGAAGAGTTGGCAAAAAATTTTGTGTGGCTTAAAATAAGTTGATATAATTCTCATTTCGTTTATAAAATTAAATGTATAAGTATTTCAATTTGTGTGATTTTTATAAAGTCGATTTTCTGTCAAGAAAATTGAAATTATATTATGCTTTAATTATAATAATTTTATATGTTTAATGATCATCTACGAAAGATAGTTGGGTGACTAATCAGTAAACTAAATCTAAATAATTCCAATTAATGTTTAAAATCTGATTTATTTCAAAAACAATAACAAAATGTACAGCAATTACAAATAGGTCTTCGCAATTTGATTGTTTACAAATTTATTTTGTAGTTACATTTCGTGCAGTCGGAAGTTCAAAAAGCGTTTTCTGTTGTATTGTATTTGTCTGTAACAAACATAAAAATTACTCAGAAAAGACTCAAAAATGACTATAATATGGTTCGAAAATAACTCTAAAACGACCAGTAAGTCGGCTCATTAATGACTCAAAAAATATTAAAAAATGAGTCAGAACTGATCAGAAGTGGGGCTCATAAAAGACTCGTTTATAAGAGTCGCGGGTAGGGTACCATTTTCTCCCGACGAATGTATCATTTATGATCAGAAAATGAGCATATAATCGTGCAGAAGAGTCATAAATGACTCGAATGTGATCAAAAATTTCAAAAAATGCTAGCTGGGTGCATACAAATATTCAAAATCATATGTATGCAATTGTATTTGTAACTATACATATGGACACATATCTCACAACTATAAGTTACACAACTGAACTCGTGCAAAATGACAAAAATAAGCATGTGCCTAAATATCATATATTGCACATTTGGATTTGGAATTATAACTGATAAAAATAACAATACACACTTAGTAGCAAAGAAAAATGGGTTCTAAAAAAAACAATAAAAATAGAAATGTAAACAAATATCTGAACACATACAAAAAATGTGTTGAAATTTCTTTAAGTGCTTGTGAAATTAACAAAAAAATCAAATAACATTTGAAATTCAACTGTGTTCCAATTTTGGCGCAATTTAACAATGGATAACAAAGTGATATTTCCTGAAAAATAAGTGAAGAATAAACAAAATTAATAAATATTTCCCTTTTATTATATTTTGCCAAAGAGATAGATAGAGAGAGAGAGAGAAATACTCATTAAAACCGTTAGAATATTGTGTTTGTGTTCCTCTCGAGTTCATTGACGTTTTCGCATAATAATACCTTTTATGTGCTGATGTTGTTCCTGTCACTGCTGTATAACAGAGCGTATACGTGTTTTCAAGTTCAAAGTCACTTAAAAGAGTTACCAACACTATTGCAATAATAAATAGACCATTCCATATAAATTCATTCACACTTGCTTACGCACATAATCACTCATCTGTACACGTAATCATTTATACTAAATTTTATATTTTAACAAGATCAAAAACAATTCTCTATCTGTGCAAAAATAAATTTATAAAAAAAGTAAATTCCATATTTTGTCATAATGTTTGTGTAGTTTTTATTTTGTTTTTTCCGCAATTTCATGCGATTACACTTAGAAAATTTACGCTGTACGTTGAGGTTAGATTGGAAGTGTACTTGAACACTTAACCTATGAGACTTTTGATATTATTTAGTTACTGAATATACTGAACAGTGATGGAATTGTATTGTAACTTCTCCTATTTGTGACTGCATATAAAACAATTTGCAGCTTCATACCCTAACAGAATAGTGATCAGTATATTCTGCTCTTTTAGGATCGGTTAGTTCTATGCTGAACTATCTCCTTTTCCGAAATTTTGTAAAAACGAGGATTCCCAATTACAATGAGTAGTGATCACGCAAGTTTTATTGATTCCGTTCCCTTCAAAAAATATTTTTAAAACATCCTTCTCAAATATAAATTATTTTTAAAACTTATTGGTCTTGATTATTTATTATCTACAATATCCTTAATTTTATTCATATTGAATTTATCTAATGTCCCTAATATTTTGTTCTTTTATTCAATTTCAGCAAAGGATGTCACAACGAGTCAAATGATATGCATTTGTGTGATGAGGGCTATTTAGGTAAATCTAATTTTGATCAACGAAATGAGGAGGATACCGACAATGGTCCCTATAGAATATATCTCCATGTGTGGTGACAGCAGTAGAAGCGTTATTTTCTCGAAGTCATACGACTGATATCTCTTGTAAATTAAAATATTTATTGTATTTGTAAATACTAATGATGTAAATAAATAGTTTATGTTTAGTTATGTTTAATTATTCTCATAATATAAATAAGTTAATAAATACTCGTATTTAAAATAAATTAACAAAATGTAGTTTAATTGTTTATATTTAATGGATGAGACTGCCCATTTTTATCATAGTGATCTGAAGAATGTTGATATAGTGAAAAGATCATCCTTTAATTGTTTTAATCTATTCAAGGTAATCGATGTGGCTGCTATCGCATATATATGTACATACCATATAATAAGATGATAAGCTTTTAAGTAGGCTCACATTTGACAATGTTTGGTGTATGTTTACAATTTGGACCGTTCCTTGATTTCAGACAATGACAACATTAAATACCATCTTTTGAAGTGCTCACGCATGAGTGTTTTCCATCGAATATGAGCGAACTGCATCAGTCATCAGACGAATTGTTATTTATGTCGAAAAATGTATCTTTCAAGTCTGTACAGCCGCGCGCATGTTAATTTTTCGAATATCCAATTTTAATGATTGCGCGTTACGATTTTTTTTGGGAATTCAAAGATCAGTGTCATTTTGTACAACACAAAATTTATTCAAAGTATTGGCGATGGTTAGCTATGATCTTTTTCACACCCAGCTAATTTCGGATACCAGGTTAGGTTAGATTACTTGGCTTGCTCGCTAGTTAGCGAGTTCACTCGAAGGCCTTGTGGCCCATCGTGATACCCTTAGAATTGCCATTCCCTTATGTTGAGAGAATGGTTTCCCTCCCTAATTTCGTTGAGTACTCGGTTCTTGTTTCTAATAAAACCGATTATGTTTACTCTCTGATCATGGAAAACGCATCTCTGATCATGGAAAAGGGCTCAACCAAGATAGAATAATCTGTGCTCCGTGCCCCTTTCTGTCTTGGAACCATCAGTGTAGATTTATAACTTTATCCCTTAGGGCAGTGTTTGTGGCCCAATCATCCTTTGTCGGTATTCTGGTCTTGAATGACATATAAAATTCAGTGTAGGTAGTATGTAGTCCGTTTCCAGCCCCATGATTGACCTGCCTATCTTTTGTAGGATGGTGCCATGACCAATGCGATCAAGTTTCAGTCCGTTCGACTGTTCAAGTCGTAGAGCAGATTTAGCAGAAATACGTTTGATGTATATATCAAGGGGAGTTATATTTAGCATCGTCTCTGGACTATCCTGAGGAGTGGAACTCATACAGCCAGTGATTGCAAGGGATGCTAATCTTTGTACCTTGTTTAGAATAGAGGGATGAGTCTTGGTATCCACCGCTCTCCACCAAACAAGAGCTCCGTAGGTTCAAGTAGGTCTTATGACCGCGGTGTACATCCAGTGTACAATGTATGATTTATATATTTTTATATATAGAAGGCACATAGTGCCTTCTTCATTCGACTCTCAGCCAAGATATTCAGAATGATGCCATTCAAACGTGGAGGTCTGAATTCTCGAATTTTGTACCTCCTAGTGAAAAGAATCAGTTCGGTTTTGGCATGTATGACACCCAGACCGTTTTCCCTGACCCATGATAGAATTTCGTATATCATGTTCTAAACTTAAGCATTTCGCTATAATAGCGATCTGCATCAATCGAAATAATTAATAGGCGGACTGGGCAGGTTCTGGACTATAAGGCGGATGGAACAAAACTTCCCAACTACTTTTATCTAAACAGTTTTGAAACATGCCTGGTAGCAAGTTCTGTACGTTTTTCTGTACGAACCAGTTGCATTCTTTACAGGTTTACTGTGATAGTCTGGTCAGATTTCAGCAACTCTTGCAATAATAGATAGAACCCTGGCCAGGTTTCACAAACGATTTCCTGTGATTCTTGTTATCGAATTAAATCCATTTTTCATGGCGAGTCTGGAGTTTTCATATGATACACCCTTCGTTTATAGTTTTTACTAATTAAAGTTAAAAATCCCGTTAACCTACTATAGATTTTCAATTATCGATAGTATAAAAGTTTGATCTAGCAGCGAAAAATTCTTCGATGGTTCGAATACACTAATGACTTTGTATTTACGAGGGAATGTTTTGCCCCGCAAAACACAAGTCTACTAAATCTGATACGCCTAAATAAGGAAACCCTTAGTTTCTACGGAACTTTCTTTGGTACCTCCTAAGATTACTTATTGTATTATATACTGGAATACTAAGGGCAATTTGAGAGAAAGTACAATGTCTCGTAGAGTGAAATTTCTAGGTGGTGTTTCACAAACCCCAAGAAAAATATTTAGTTTGTATCCGAATATAATAGTTAGCTTTATACACGAAATCAATTTTAAATGGCGAACTAAACGTCGGAATGATGCTCACTTTTCTAATCAGAATAATATATATCTGAATTGTAATGTACCAAAATTTTCGTAGTAAAGGACCGAAAAAACACAAGTACAGCTTCTTAGCTTTTAAAAATCTTTCAAAATATTAAATATTGACAACTTTGAAATACTTTTGAAATATTTTATTTTTGTCATATAAATATAATTTAAAAACTAAATTTGTTGACATTAATAAAAACTAGAACAAAAAAACACAACTGTCCTTGTCTCGATCGGTCAAGTTAATGTCATAAAAAAATTAAATTGCGTGGGATGCTTTCACAGTAGACACATAAACAAAATTTGTCCCTGAATATAAAAATCTAAAACAAAACAGACAATATAAAAAACAAACACCACAAATATTTCTCCAAGTGTATTAAATACAAAAAATATAGTATGATGAAACTCATCATTACTTGTTAATTAAATTAATAATAAACTAAACAATTGTTTTGTTATTGTTATTTTTGCAAAATTTAGATAAAGTTTGTGTTTGTATGGACTCAAGCACCTATTGCCCCAAAAGAAGGCAATCATTCAAATACAAAAAAAATATCACATGTTTTATACATAATGCGGGTGTTTTTCTCAATTATTCGATCATTTTTGCAATTATTTTTAAAAACGAATGAGTGGGAGAGAGTGAGAGTGTGTGGGGAAGAGTCGGAAGGAAATATGAACACACCTACAATTTACGTTAGAAACCTTTTGGTGGGACAGGCAACAAATGTTTGTGATTTTTTTTTAGGTTTTTCTTTGAAATGCGGTCATTCGTAATCTCATGATCCCTTGTTGTATTCAAATAAATATTTAAGCATTAAATCAACAATAATTTAGTATGTACTCTACTCTCTCTCTCTCTATCTTTTAACTTGCCTTTAAATCATTTGACTTATTTTGTTTTTTTTTTTTGGTTATTTTTACTTTTTTTATTTTTTTACTATTTATAAAGAGGAACAAATTATCTAAATGAACCGCAGCAAAACACTGCTGAATAGAAGAGGCCATTGAACTTTATTTTCATTTCGCGGTTTTTGCGTAAATGAAATTTAGTTTTTTTCGTTAAGGGGTGGGTGGGGTTGTGTTTTTTTAGTTTTTATTTTCATTCTTTTTTTTTTTTGGTATTTTCTGTTTGAATAGTAGTAGTAGTAGTAGTGATAAACAAATCTATTTATTTTTGGCAATTTAGGTTGTTACTTTATTTTTTTTATTTTTTTAATTTTATTTGTTTTTCTTTTTTTTAGTTCCCCAAGTGTTTTTTTTTTCTATTTGAATTTATTCAGTTTTCACACATAATTTTTAATTTTGCGAAAAATATGTTTTTAATAAGAATTTATTAGAATTAGAATAACATGCTCTCTATCTGTTGTAAGGGGTATCTAGTCATGTATAAATGTTTGTATAAACTTTCTAATTTATCTATTATTTATTTTAATAAAGGCTCGTGCAAATAAAATATGAGTCTTTTTATGAGCAATAAGTATTATGGAATTTTTGCCAAAATGATTTGCTGTTTCATAAAACTTTTAACAATATAGTTTTCACAGTCTTTAAAAAAGTTAAATGAAATTGCAAATAAACAAAAGTGTTTCTTAAATAGAACAAATGTTAACTTTATAATATGAACTTATGTATAAGTATTTATCACTTTAATAGCATTTTGTACCGGTGTTACCCGGGACTTCTCATTTTAAATTTAAAGAAAACCAAATCATACTTTACCGGATCAGCGGATCAGTTATTTTAGTGAGAAAAAATATAGGCAATAAGATTCCCAATCTAATTGACTTTGCTGTAATCGGAAATATAAAACAAAAAGTTATTTCAGTGATCCCTTCACTTGACCTCTTGCCAGACCATACGTTTACAGTTTTAACGTTATTAAAAGCTCCAAAAAAAGAGGGAAATTACTGTTCTTGTTTCTCCAACAAGATGTGCTTTAAGTGAACATCAGTCTTGACGGCCTTTAAGCTTTTTAGAGGGCTTGTATCTAATACACCGGTAGCAATTTTTGTACATGGTTCAGCGGGTCCATGTACAATCACTTTACACAAGAACTCGAGTTATCTAATATCTGCTCATTGCAACTTCCAAGATTCAAAAACGATTCCTTCAAATAAGCCGAGGACTTGTTCTTACTCACAGAGAACACACAGTGGTAAATCTGATATTAACAGAGAATAAACCCTGAACATACACGGACAAGAATAGAAAAATTCAATGGCATATCATTTGTATAGGATACCTTACATCCATCTCCTTTCAACCCAGCACACTTCTCATTCATCCGACACACTAATTGAGAAAAACATAAAAACATCCGACACACTCACTCTAAGTATAAGGATGAGTGGGGACCGCATACCCCTACCCTACCAACACTCTCTTTCCGCGAATTTGGATGGGTGCATCCCATAAGGACCTCTCCAATAATCGGGACAAGACAAAGTCCGAAACTCAGATTATGTGACACTCTGGTTCGACCTCCTGTCAAATCACTCCAAAAAAAAGACCGAGGATACCTTTGAACATCACCAGTTTAGAGTCCTGACTTTTCCCCAGGATTACAATAGCACCAAGATGAGATTTTTAAGGTAACATGCCCCCGGTGGGTGTTTTCCTAACAAGATGACGAACTGGTTAAAGTATAAAATGTATCTTAAGCCCCCTTCACACGAGCACACAAGTAATATGATCTTTCAAAATTTTGT